CGTCGCATGCTACTGAGATATCGCATCTCTTACCTTCTCGACGAGGTCAAGGCAGGTCTTGACGAAAGCAGTGCGGTTCTCGGCGCTGCCAAAGGCGGTGCTGAACCAACGGCTGCCGGTCCAGCCTCCAATGGAAACCAGGGCCTTGACGTTGTTCTTCTTGGCCTCCGAAACAAAGACGGGGAGCTGGTCGGGAGCCGACTTGGTCAAGTTGAGGCTGCCGTCCTCGGAGGTCTCGGCGAAGGCGTACTTGGCGTCGGTGTACTTCTCCCACGGCATCTGGCTCACGGCGAACCCGCGGTTGGCGTGGTATCCGGCAAAGTACGTCGAGGCGACGAGGCCGGAGGAAGTGTTGGCGGCGCACGCGGCGCTGGCGCACACGGCCAGGACGGCCGCGAGCGAGGCCTTTGTGAGTCTAGCGAACGACATTATTTATCACGAATCACACCGATAGGAAAGAAAAAAGTGAATGTAAAAGAGTGTGATGGTGGTGTGGTGAGATCAGAGTATCTCAAGGCTGTCAGCGGTCGGGACACCGAAGTCCCTTCATATATACTCACGCCACCAACACCTTCTGCGCCGCAGCCAACGAAAGAGCCGCTCCATCAACAGGCGCACTTTGTCGGACGAGGCGCCGCCGCAATTGTTGGATAAAGTTCAGCAAAGCCCCAGCTCGCCCACGCAAGCTAATTGTTTTTCTGGGGCTCGCAGGCAAACGCCGCGGCGGCACTGGGCCAAGAATGACTCGCCGGCAGGGGTCAGCCCAGACGTCGGCACCCAGAGTTTGGTCTGATGTTTAGTTGGTTTATGGGGCGGAGGGCATTAATAGGTCGCTTTTAATGAACCCCCTGAGCCTGTGAGCAATGGGAAAGCGGCGAGGGCGATCCGGGTATTTGCAGAGGATGCAACATGCTGTGACGGAGGGCAGGCTGACCCCTCCCCAAAGTCCCCTTCGCCCCCTATTTTTCTCCAATTTCGCGTCCGCCCAGTTGGGGAAGAGGAGTCGTTGGTTCGTTCCCACTGTTCACGAATGACGGGTTTGTTTTCATGTCCGGGCCGCCCGGCCAAGCACACCAACGCGCGGGTGATCGGGCCAAGCGGCGGGAAGTCAGGCTCGGCGATGAAGAGCGATATTGCCGTGAGGAGGTGCTGACAGGGTCAAGGTCGAGGGCAGAAAAAAACAGAGAGAGAAAAAAGAGAAAACGAAAAGGGGATGGCGCAAGAATGGCGCAGCTTCGCAATGCCCGTTACAGCCAATGCTATCCGTCGCCTAGGAACCGAAAGCGATTGGTGAATCCCAACGCCGTGGTACCTTGGAGAGCTGGATCCCGCGAGAGTTTGTTTTCTCTTTTCTTTCACGAGATATTCGCAAACGTTAAACAGCTCCAACCGTGGCCAGTAGAGTGGTTCCAGCCGTTCCGGATGCAGCGTTGGACCACGCGGCGCACCTTTTTCTTTTCCCCAATGAGGCCGCCGACAGGCGGGTGCAACGTGCGACTGCATGAGACACCGAGGAGGGGTTTCGCCTTCCAGCGAGTTCGCCGACCGGCGCGGACGTGCACGAGTTCCTGCATGTTCCCGGTTCATCTCATGCTGTCAAACATGTGAGGGTTGCTTACGCACAGCAGATTGATGGGCTGTCAACGAGTCAAGGGCACCTCCTGAAGCTCTGTGGGAAAGGAGGTGTTTAGCTGTCAGTGGAAGCAACGCGAACATCCGCGGAAACATCGCGAAACATGTTTGACGAAGCGCAAGGCAATCCACCAACTCATTTACTGTGATACTGAACAGTATCTCTTGTTGATGAGACATTGAACATGGCTCTTGTTCTAGATTCTAGTTCCCAGCCGGCTGGAAATTCGGGGAGACTAGTCCTCTCCCCGCAGTCTCTCTCCATGTGGACCATCGGCGGGCAGTGCCTTTGATGCCCACGGAATCGGTTAAGGTGGGCTTTGGCGTTCCGCCTCGATGGGTAGCACCCCACGGCACGCGGGTGCCACGACGGCCGCCATCTCAGCCGCAGCCGGATCTGGCTCCCGTCGCTAGATCAAAGAGCGCTGAGAAATTGGTGTGAGATAAGAAGGCTGATTAATTTTTCGGTACGTAGTTTTTGCTCTGCAATAATTTGGCGAAATGGGGCACTGTTGCTTTGCGAGCGCGCAACAACATCGTCAGTCTTGGCTAGCCGGTGGGAGATGACCACCCTTGATTGATGCCACATGGTTGCCGCCCAGCATCAAGCCCGCCTCAGTCTTTGTGAATTTTTCTTTTGGGCATTACCTCTCTCATTTATGGTCCATTTCTCAGCCGATAACGTGAATGCTAGATTGATGGTTGAGTTGTGATAACACCCCCCCTTCGCAAAAGATATTTACAGCCCCCACCTCCACTCCATCGCCATTGGCGTGAAGCTCATGAGTGAATAGGTCTGCGTTTCTTTCTCATCAAATATCAATTTTCACAGTCGAGTCTCTTGACCTGGAAGAGTCACGTCAGATTTCGATCGAAATGCCCTGTTCGCAATAACCTTATTCTTTCTGACCTGCCTAATGCGTCTTGGCGTTTCGGAAGACATGGACGCTGATGATCAACTTGGTGGAGACCCGCAGCACCTTGGCAAGTCCCTCTTCCCGTCATTAATATTGCTTAGCATCACCCAAGGAAACCTTAGGAACTGTAGATTTTCTCCCTCTGTTGGTTCTTGGCAAATAGATGAGAGCCCCAAACTTAGGTAGTTTGACACCGGAACGAAAAGACCGTTGACGTTGAGGCCTTCAATCGGATCGAGGCGAAACTTGTGAACGCATCGATGTCGCACGGGATTGGTGTCTCTCTGTATTATCCTGGTACTCGAAATTTCGAGTCGAAGGTCGCCTCTCGCAACACCATTTCGAGGTTGAGTCAGGTATCGGAAGAGGAGTTTCGCATCCCACCGGTACATCTCATTGCATGAGATGGTGAGATCGACGATATCCATATGTACGGCCAATATGTAGAGCAATTCGTGTCAGATAATCCGATTCATCCAGGTGGTTATAAAATTCACTGAAGCCGCTAGCATCGCAGCCTGCAAGCCCGGTCGACATGCATCCGGCATAGACTCAGTCACCAAACAGTTTACTCTTGAATGTCATCATTACAGAGGGGAAGCGTAGCACTTGATCCGAATGACCTAGGAAATGATTGGCTAAAGTGAATCTGTGAATATGCCATTCAAATTCATTACCAAAACCCCAAATAACTTCTGAGCACCCCACACCATGGAACAAGATCTATATCTGGACAACCTCACACTGCGGCTTTGGCCCGCCAGCCTTTTCTATAGCATCCTCGATGCAGCCCTGAGCTCCCGACCCATCCACGATGAATTCAACAATCCACTCCCTGTCGTCCCTCATCTCGTACTTGAACTTCCAGTAACCTTCATTCTTGACCATCCCACATGCACCCACCTTCTCATCCAACGTAGCCCCGTTGTCATGACCAGCCCACCCAGCCCCCCAGATCTTCACACCAGATATAACCCGCCGACCACTTCCGACCTCGATCTTGCACCCCGACTTGAATCCGTTAGAGGCCTTCGTCCTCACCGAGAGCGGGTCCATCCGATACTTGATGCCACCGGCAAGATAGGAACCGCCCGCCTTGAATGGGACAGGGTTGGAACTGGATCGCCCGTCGCATGTGTCGAGGAGCTTTCCACGCATGATGTCGATGCAAGACTCCCTGTTAACCGGATAGTAGATGCCGGCGGGGAACTGAATAGATAGTGAGACAGCGTCCGGGCGGTTTTCTCTGTACCGGCGCGTGAACCGCGACAGCCCGATGAAAAGTTCCCGGCCATCGGGGAACTCCTGCTTCGATGCCTCGGGACAGAACTCCTTCTCGATGATTTCGGCAAGTTGGTTGCGCTCAACCCAGCGCTGTTCCTTCTCAACGCCTTCGCATTCGAGGACCGGATCGTCGAACGACTCCCACATGTCAGCGTCGCCGTCTTTCACCTCTTGTCTTGGAGTCACGCTCCGCTTCTTGCCCGGGATGCCGGCGTAAGGCTGGTTTGCAGGCTTGGCTTGGTGGTTGATACCGGTTTGGAGGAGAGCAGTGGTGGCGCCGGAGTCGACAATCACCTGGTCTGCTGTGACTGCCATGATCTGGTTTTGTTCGATGCGTTCATAGACGCTCCTTGCGTTGGAGGAGATGCAGCCACCTTCCCACCCGATCATCAGTGCCATCACGCCCGAAACACTGTGAGAATTATCTATTAGTCATACTCAAGAAGAAGAGGAAGAAGTGAGACTGCTTACTGAGGTGTAGCCATGCTAGTACCAGCCAAATATTCTGTGGCCGAATCAGATGTGTGGATGGCGGACTTGACTCCAGCACCCGGGGCCCAGATGTTCATGTTTCCCTTATAGTTGGACTTTGCCCAGCGGTTATAGTTCACATCCACGGCGCCTACACTCAAGACTGATTTCCATCTGTCACAGTGTAAGCACTTGTCTAGGAACTGGAACGACAATATTTCTAGTTAGTGACTGACCTAGCTGGAACACCGATGCTTTTCTTGTTCTCGTTGCCTGCGGCCGCGGCAATAGCGATCCCAGCATCGGCTGCCTTTGCCCAGGCCTCCTCAAAGTCGATCGGGTTAGCGTAGTTGCTCATGTCCCACTTCATGGAGACGTTGATGACGGAGCCCTTGAAGTCCGATACTTTGGCGTTCTTCTTGTTGTTGTGGGCTTTGATTACATCGAGGACGGCTGCAAGAAGACATGGAATAAGTTCGCGCTCGCTTCAATCAGGCTACATAAAACTTACAGCTGATAATATGAGCCATAGTTGAGGCACAGTCGACTTTGACATTGATGATGTTGGCAGCTGGGGCGACACCGTAGTCAGGCGAAGCAGCGATAGCCGCAACGTGTGTCCCGTGTCCAATGTCATCGTCCTAGACAGAGCTAGAGTTAGCCCCTTCAATGTTTGCCATATTCACCTTTCAGTAGTCATGTGGAGTATCGACGTACCATTTTAGCAGTATTGCAATACGGAGACTTATCGTTACTCTTCTTGCCATTGAAATGGCTTGCTCGCCCACCAAAGGCCTTGTGCGAAAGACGAATGCCGCTGTCAAAAATGTAAATATCAACACCCTTGCCAGCATTCGACAACCATTCTGCCTGGTGATCCTCCTTATAGATGTCACCCTGGAGCTGCTCGGTGATCTTTCTGCCTGCAGCAATCATGGCCAAGTTCCACTGCGTGTTCTTGCGGGTTTCACTGTCGTAATCGAGTGGGACCTCGCCACACCCATCTTGTCGAGCCTTCAGGTTCTTGGTACGTGATCTAGAACGGGAGTATTCCTCGTCCACTACCCCAGCAGGCGGTTCAGATGGCGCGTACTCATCGGCCGAGCGCTCAGGGCTCACATTGTGGTTGTGAGTAACGCGCACAACACCTGGATCGCGGCGGATGAGATCGTGGACGATATAGCTGTTGCCCTCGGGGATGACAAAGTGGTAGGCGTTCAAGAGATCCCAGTTCTCGAATTCAGTTGCCACTTCGGTGACGTTGAGGCCGATGTTGGTGAAGTGGTCTTCCAGGTTATGGTCGTCACGAAGCTTGACGATGTAATGCTCAGCTACGATGTCCTCATCTCTTGGGACGATATACGGAGCCTGCGTTTCCGATCTTGGGGCTAGGAAGGCAGTCGCCGAACCTGCCAGAAGCAGTGCAACATACTGCCGCATATTGAGGGCAACAAGTAAGAGGTTTGAGGTAATCAGTTTTATGAACAAATTGGCAGGACCAAAGCTAAGAGTGAAATGTTAATGTGATAATGGCATTCTGATACAGTCTCATCACTGTAAGGATAGTGGATTTATATAGATGTTTTCTTCCTTCTCAAGCTTGGATTGGCATCCAGCATCTGAAAGGCGTCTCAATTCAGCCTTGTAAGCTCGGTCTTGATTGAGGCGCAAGCCTAATCCACATTTTGCTATCGTAGGAATCTCGGACTTGAAATCCCACATTCCCTTTCTCTTGGTTGATGAGTCCCAGAATACATGTACCTGAATGTCATGCGAGCTTTCAGGCGTCAGCTTACAGTCGGACTCCCTACATAGTGACTAGGTTGGCTGTGCTTCGCAGCTCATGATTGGCTCTCTCGCAATCTCTCAATTAATAACAGCTCTCTCAGGCTCTCAGCCACCATTAGATCGCTGATCCTCTAGATGGACACAGTGGAAAAGTCATGTTGACAGTCGGACATCAGTACAGCGTCGTACTCTCCATCACCATTGTCACTGAGAAAGACGCCAACTGTGGCCCGCGAGTTGATAGCAAGTAAGCAAATCACATTGAATCTAATTTTCCATCTATTATGCTCGTCTACCAAGTTACAGCTAATCTCTCTTTCCTTTGGCTGGCTTCCACTCGAAATGATGCTGGCCTGCTTTGGGCTCGCCCGGGAAAACATCCTCCTTTTTGTCAAACATGTGTCTTCCAAAGTAATCTAACTCCGCCTCCATGAACTGCGTGGGAAGCTCGTTAGACGTCGAGTACTTGTAATACTCGAGACTTTGGCTCAACGCAGGGACACAAAGGTCTGCCTCCACAGCTTTTAGGATGACTTCCTTCGTAGCAGAGAAGTTGCATGATAGGTCGTTTCCAACCTCGTGGTTGGAAAGTACGTCGTCTTCAATATTGCGGTCCTCGCGACTGTACATCGCATCAAGCACATCGACGATACCGTCTGACTGGATAATGCATCCGCCGCGCCATAGCTGGAGTATGTTTCTGTAGTTGAGCTTCCAGCCCATCTTGGCGTCTTGAGCCTGGATCATATCCATACCCTGTGCAAAGCAGGTAAGGAATCCAAAGTAAGTCGCCTTCTGCAGATGATCGAGAAAGTCCTCTCTGGAGGCGACGTCCAGCTTTCTTGACTCCACGCCTCCATTCGCGGCGTCTTTGTTGTGCTTTCGTTGTCCGGCAAAGGCTGATGCAAACCGGAACAGGTGGGCGCTTACAATAGTTGCCGCGGGGATGTGTAGGTTGATGGCATCTCGACAGGTCCAATTGCCGGTTCCCTCAGTCTCGTCAACATCCTGCACGACCTTGTCTCTGATATGGCCCAGAGGGTTTTCTCCATACTCGTCTCGGGCGTTTGAGATGTCGACTGCGATCTTGATGAGAAAGCAGTCATGCAAAGGGCCCGACGAATTCCACTGGTCGAACACAGCTCCGATCTCAGAATAGCTCATTCCGAGGCCCTGCACCATGATAGACCACACTTCTGCCAGCACCGACATCATGCCCTGTTCGATGCCATTATGAACCATCTTCACAAAGTGTCCACTACCTCCCGATCCCACGAGGCCTGTGCAAGGCTTGCCGTCCCGCCCCTTCGCCGCGAGCTTCTCCAGAAAAGGGAGAATTCGGCGCACCACATCGGGATCACCACCGGGACAGAAAGAGGGGCCGGATCGGGCGCTCTGGTACCCACCCGACACTCCGCATCCGATGTAATGAATGCCTTTTGGCGCGAGCTCTCGCTGTCGTCTTTCGGTAGCTTGCCACTGCTCATTCGCGCAGTCGATTATGATGTCGTTCCTCTCCAGATTGCCACCCGACAAAAGACCCTGAATAGCTTCATCGCCGACGGAGCCATGCGGAGTGCTGAAGACGAACACACCCGGCTTGCTTTGCGCCTTCACAGTCTCGCACAGATCCTCATAACTCTCCCGTGCCGTGACACGATCATCCAGACCAAGATTCATGGCGTCTCTTCTCAACTTGTCGATGTTTTCTTTGCCTAGGGACTTGTTAGTAGCCGAGACGACGGCGGGCATCGAATGGGGCGTACTAGGGTCGTAGAAGAAGACATGATAGTCGTTTTCGGCGAAAAGAAGACTCATCGCAGCCCCCATGCTGCCTACGCCAACAACACCAATCTAGCTAAAGTCAATCATTTTTGAGCTTTTGGGCACCAAGCCTCCTGGTAGACGATGGCTTACGGTAGTGAATTCGACTCCTTCGGTCGGCATATTGGCGATATTTGGGATCGGCGAATAAACTTTTGACAAGCGGGAAAAAGGGAACCTTTGCAAAGACGGATTGTGTAGATTGGCTGATATCAATTGTACCCAAAGACGAAGATGGTAGTTGCTGGATGACGTTTGTCGGGCGTAAGTGGTTCATCGGATGTCATCGTGACGTCTTGGCTGAGGTGCTTGGCTGAGCATTGACTAGTGGGTTGCTTTGGCCCGCCCAAAGCAACTGTTTCATCAGCTGCAAACCGATTATCTAGAAGGAGACCACAAAATCAGACAATATCCACAAAAGACGTTGCGGCGGTTGCGAAATCATCATTACTCACTCACCAGTTGAGTTGTGACAGGTCTATGGTTCACGCCAAAAAGCGGACCGAACCCCGATATTTTCGAGACGATCGTGGACAACTGTATTCGCCGGAGCTACACTAGATCTTTGGGACTTCTCTGCTGCCCATCGTCGACAGACACTGAAACATGCGTTGTCTTGGTGATGCCGTCCGGGGGTACACTTCCCTGCCTCCCCACGATGCTCTCTTCAGAGTCCATCTTGGATCGATTGAATCCCGACCTGACAGCAGTCGTGTTTCGTCTCGACCTTGAGAACATTTCAATATTCTCCTGGGGATCGCCAGTAGCACCAGTTCGGTTCGTCCCATTGTTTCGTACGTAGCCATCGTGGTTGTTATACTTTGAGGTGTACTTCGCTGAGGACCCTGCGAGGATGGCTCTGAATAGGGGCTTGAGACAAGGAATCGAGGCGGCGATGATGGCTGTGCAGATTTCGACCGTTGTCCTATGAATAAGTCATTAGCGTGTGCGGCTTCAAACGTGGTAATGGAGATGAGAGGGTTATTTACCAGATCGTGATGTCGGAACTATCGAAGAGGAAGTCGCCGTGTTTGCCGTAATTGGGCAGGAAAGAGATCTTGATGACGGCGGCGACGGTGGCGCTGGATGGTAGAGTAAGCAATAGGCTCTTGATGATGGGACGCAATCAGTCAAGTTCGCTTACAAGATTCCCAGCGACAAGACTCCAATAACTGCGGATTTGACTTTCCAGTTGAGTTGGACCGTCCACAACATTGGGATTGGCAACAAGGCGAAGAGTAGATCTGTGAATACCGAGACACCTACGCAAGATACGACTACATGAGCACAAAGGAACTGATCGAAAGCGACAGAAGACTTACCCGAGTTGAAGAAGGCAGCAAACTTCAGGTTTGCTGGTGGGATGCATTCGCCACCCTCGATCGAGGTATCCCACGCGTAAGCCAGCGGCCGACACTGAAAGAACACAGTCACTGAGAAGATTAGAATCGACGCTTCTCTACGTGTTCATGTTGGAACACCTACAAAAGTTCCCTGTCGCGGAGAGAATCGTGAAGACGATGGTACCCATGATAAAGTACCGCATCCGCGTCGAAGGGCTTACCCTCAGCAGAAACAGCCCAACGCTGACTTTAGCTAGACAAAGAGCAATCAGGCACAGAGGCTGTGTGACAAAGTTATAATGCAGCCCGATGACAACATTTTCCTTGGGTTCGATGTACTGGATGTGTCGTCCTCCTCCGTACTCGACTTCAGGGAGGATCACCATCATCTCGGCGAAGATAACGACCTACGTAGTAAGGAGAATTAGCCAATCACTTACAACGTTTTTGGGGTTGATTGAAGTCATAGTGGCTGAAGTTGAAGATCGAAGGAGCGCTGAAAATGGCGAAGCCTTTTTCACGAAAGAAATATAGCACAGGATATGGGACTGTACTCACCGTGGCGGCGACGATACACCAATCATCCCAGCCAACAAGTCGAACGATCCTCGCCCTCACATACATCCTCATCATGACAATAACCACCGAGATACCCACCAGGCTCCCGCAGGTTGCGAGGATCTCTGGGCCTCTGTTGATATCCGGCGGAAGCTCCGAAGCGTCGGCCATGGCTACGGAATCTTGAAGCTTGAGTAAAAACGAGGAGGAACCAAGAGCACGCAAGATCGACAGCGGGCCTCGCATCGACGAGGCACCCAATTCTTTATCTCGGTGTGGCCAGGCCACCCTCGCCTCCTATTACTGCCGCACCATGCTCCGCTGCAGAACGCCGGCACCTATTCTGCGCCGCCTCGGCGCAGAGAAGAGGGAAAATTTCAACCCACCTTTAGTGGCAGGTGAACCTGTTGGTGTGGCTCATCCCATGGGATGGATCATGCAGGAACATAACAGAGATGACGCGAGAGTCACCGACAGGGGGCAATAGAACTTGCCATAGACCCCTAAGTCCCCACCCCAACTAACGGAACACCCCCACATATAGGATAGCGAAAATCATGCATTTGCACCTATACTACGATAATTATATTTTAACGTATTACTAAATATCTTAATTAATCTATAATATAAATATATAATTTTATACTCTCTTTATTATTAGAAAATTCGCTTTTAGATAATACTATTTCTAGCTTATTAGGATTATTCTAAACCTCTTATTTCTTCTTAATAATCTAATTAATTATTATAAAACGTTTATTTATATCTAGCTTAATTTTAGTATATTTCTAAGGCTATAGTAATACTACTTAGGCTTATAGTACCTTAATTATCTATTAATTATTAGTATTAGCTATATTATTAAGGTTAAGATACTTACTTACTTTTAATATAAATAGCTAATAGATTACTAGATTAATAGGTTTTAACCCTAACTTTAACCTATTATAAAATAACTATTTATATTACTATAAATTAATAGAGGACTTTAGTATTCTAAGTATAACTCTTTTTAGTATTAATATAACGTTTTAATTATCTATTATAATAAGGTAAGAGAGAAAACTTATTAATTATACTAAGTACTCTACTCTAAGTAGAAAAACCCCTAAAAATGCCTAAATACTTATATATTAATTTTCTAGATAACTATAAGAGATATAAAAGTAAATATATAAATATAAGCTTAACTAAATTATACTTTATCTATATTTTTTACTCTCTTTATACTTTAAGTTATATAATCTCTTAAGAGAAAATAAGCTACTAAGAAGAAGTTTAGTAATAATATCTTTATAGTATTTTACTCTATTTTTACTTTAAATAATTAAAGAGGTATAATAAAGACTAAAAAAAGAGATAAAAATAAGGCTAATTAAAGCTAGAAAAGCCTAAAAATACCTATATTTATTTAATTTTTAAAAAGTAAAAATTAATAAACTTTTTCTATAAACTAAACTAAAAAATCCTAAAAACTTTTTTAAAAAAGTAGTTATTAAAGTTATTAAGGAAAAAATAGGAATTTATATAAAAATAAGTATATTTCTTATTTATTTACTTAGTTTTTTTTTTATTATAAGTTAATTAAGCTTCTATTTACTTATATAACCTTTTTCTTTTTATAATAATACTTAATACTTATAAAAATACCTATTTATCCTCTTTTCTTTAAGTTAAAATTACTAAAAAATTTTAAGTTTTCTACTTTCTTCTATATATCCTTTAAATCTTTTATATACTATAGAAAAAAAGACTTAATTAACCTTATTTTATATATATAAAGTTATATTTAGTTTTTAGAGCTCTTAAGCTATTAGCTTCACTTTAAGCTAAATTCTTAGCTATCTCTTACTTTATATAAATAGTATCTTTATTTTCTTCTTATAGCTTTTTAATATATTATATACTAAGTAGTAAGTATTTTTTTAGTATAATTAGGGGTAAATAAGGGTTTTAAAACTTTATCCTCTAAATAATATCTTTAATTAAGTTATTTTATATTAAAAAAAAGTTATCTAAAGTATAATTATTTAATTTAGTAGTATTTTTAAATAAGTTAAGCTTTAGCTTTTATTTCTTAACTTTTATTTAGTATATACTTTTTTAAAGATTTTCTATTTTAATTTATTAATTTTACTCTTTTTTAGTACTTTTAATAAAGTAATCTCTCTTTTTAATATTATTTTAATAAGTTAAAAAGTTTAGATCTCTATTTTTAATAAAGTTATTTAAGTTATAAGTATTTAAGGGGGTAATTAAGTTTTGTTTAGTAATTTAGATTAAATCTTAAGTAATTAAAAACTAATTAGGATAAGCTAAATATAACTTTTTAACCTTTTTTTTAGTTTAGTTTATATTAATAGATCTCTAATTTCTATTATTTCTAATTATAATATCTATAGTATTTACTTATTTATTATAAGTTTAATTAGGTTTAGTTTAAAAATTTTTAATATTATTACTTCTTTATAGTTTAAATTTATTAATAATAAGCTAAACTTAGTAGTTAAAAAGGAGTTTATAGTAGTTATTTTTTATAATTTACTTCTTAGCTATATATTATAACTAAGTTATTTTTAAACTATAGTTTCTTTTATAAAATATATAATAAGTAAAATTAGTATTATAGAAGCTATATTTCTAAAAGTTATTTAATAATTTAAATTAGAAGTTTAAAATAATAAAAATAATATAATTAATAAGGTTTTATATCTCTATTAATACTTTATAGATTTTATATTAGTTTCTAATAAGTTTTATTATATCTTAGAAAATAATTTAAGAATAACTTAAGATATTAGAAGTAAATTTAAAGTTTTAAATAAAGTTTAAATAAAAATATAAATTACTTCTTTAGTTAATAATTATAATTAAAAACTAATTACTTACTTTATAAGTCTTAATAAAGATAATAAAATCTCTTTTCTCTAAGTAATCTTATTCTTTCTTATAAACTTTTATTATATTATTTTTAGTTTAAAGAATAAGTATTATATAGATCTTTATATATTTTTCTTTATTAATATCTTTAATAATAAGTTTATAAACTAATTTAATATATTTAGTTTTAAGAAGATTATATTTCTAAAGGAATCTTAAAAAGTTATAAAAGTTAAAAAGATATTTTTCTTAAGTCTCTTAACTTTATTTATATTATTAGTAATTATTATTATTCTTTCTAAATATATTATTTTATTACTTAATTAATATTATATTTATAATATCTCTATTTTTATATATTTATCTAAATATAAAGTAATCTTTAAAAACTTTAAGCTTTAATATATTTAAAACGTTCTATAGATTAATTAAAGCTTTAATAAGCTTAATTATATTAAATATAATACTAAAAAAGCTATTTTTAAAATAAATAAGAAAAATATAATAGCTTTCTTTAATTATTATATTAATTATACTAAGAATATTTAGATCTAAGTAGTAATCTAAAGTAAGAAGGTTTTTAGTTTTTAGAGATTTAAATACTTCTCTAATTTATTTAATTTTTATATACTTAACTAATTAATCTTTATAAAAGAAGTAAATATAAATTTAAAAGTCTTTATAAAGGTTTTTAATATTATTTATATCTTAGATATTTTTTTAGATTTTATAGATAATAAGAAAATAAAGAGAGCTTAAAAAAAGAGAAAAAGTAATAGATATCTTAATATTTTTAGTTATTATAAAAGAGAAATAGAAATATAAGAGGTTATAAATAAAGCTAAATAGTTTTATATTATAATCTATTTAAATTATAATAATAAAATATTTTAAAAAAGAAAATAGAAATAAGAAAATAAATTTATAATAAATAAAAAAGTATTAGTTATAATACTAATAATTTTTATTAAAAGTTAGTAAGAATAAGTAGAAAAAGAAAAGTATAATTTTTAGGATATTTAAGTAATAGTTAAGCTTAGTTAAAATATTATAGTTAAATATAAAAGTATTTATTAAAATAAAGTAGTTATTATATGTATAAATATATAAAATTATTTAATAGAAAGTTAGTAGTTTAAAATACCCTCTTTTATAGATATTATAAAAGTAAGTTTAGTATTAATAGTTAATATTCCTTTTAAAAATATAATTTTTAAATAAAAAAGGAGCTAGTTAAGCTTAAAAAGTAGTTTTCTAAAAGTAAGACTTATATAAATAATTAAAGTAGTTAATAGGGTTTTAAAAGTAAAATTTAAACTTTAATAAAGTAATAAGTATAAAAGAAGGAAAATAATATATATAATTTAATACTTTATAAAAAGTTAAATATAGTTACTAAGGGGTTAGTTAAACTTATAATAATATATTTTTAAAGAAAAAGATTAATATAGTTTATAAAAAAGTTAAAGTTTCTTAAGATCTATTCATAAGATACTTAGAGTTTATAAGCTTCTTTTTATAAATAGTAGTATTTTAATCTATATATTTACTTTACTTTTACTTTTAAGATTTAATTAAATATATTCTTTTTAAACTAATTAATTTTAGATTTATAATAAAAAGTTTTTTAAGTTATTCTTTTTTATCTTATTAATAAATTACTATAGTAAATAAGCTTTTTAGTTATTATAACTACTATTTTAGTATTAACTACTCCTCTTTTTAGATATAAAAAAGTATATTTCTTTTATTTAGCTAGATTTTTTCTTTCTTCCTCTTAATATATTAATTATTATATTTCTTAGTTTAACTAAACTTTTTATAATAATAGTTAGACTTTTTTAAGTTATATAATTCTTATATTATAGATATTAAAATTAACTTTAGTTACTTTTATATTACTAGCTAGAATATTTTATATAAATTCTTCTCTTTCTCTTTTATTCTTATTACTACTATTAATAAACTAAATAAAGATAATAAGTTTTATTTATATTAAATTATTATACTTATTTTAATTATAATAAGTTAATTTTAGTTTTAACTAAATTAATTACTAACTTATATATAAACCTCTCTTTCCTTTTTATAAACTTTAGTTAAAAGTTCTATTAGTTTAATTTAATAATAGCTTAGATTTATAAATAAGTTTTATATTAAAGATTATATTAAAACTATAATAAAGTAATTTTAAAAGTTACTTCTAAAGTTTTTTACTATATATAGCTCTAACTAAAAAGTAAAAAATATTTCTTTATTAGCTATTTTTTATATATAAAGTTTATATTACT